TTCATTCCTTTTGATGGCTGCATAATATTCCACTGTATATATATCTTATTGAGCACTTCTGCCATATTAAAAATGATTTAATCATTTGTCCTCCATGATAGTACTGTATCCTGGTTTTTCCTTACTTTTTAAGATTCTCTCTCTCCCTCTCCCTTTGCCCCCCTGCCCCTCTAAAAAAAGAAGAAAAAAATAAGGGACAAACTATTTGAATCTTAAAAAATTATTTCAGAGTTAAAACAAAAAAAGGGGGGGAAGTACTCCCTGGCTCATTTTGTGATGCTAGAAAATCCTTCATAGGATATATAATAGCTGTTGTGATAATAAAGAACTCCTAATAACCAAAAGCAAGTGTCAAAGAATGGATATATCCAATATGCTAGAGAAAGAATCCTTGCATCAAGACAAACAGCACACAAGAAGAGCTCTAAAGAAATTCCTTTTAATGGTTAGAATTCTATGATTTTATGATAATGGTATTCATATTATTAAGTACCAACTTTCATTTTTGGCAGTAAAATCATTCCTACTTCTGATAAACCTAAGAAAACTACATATCAATGGAAATTCCAATACAGAGAAAGGGAGAGAGAAATCAACATCAAGTCAAAGTCAAAAACTGTGCAGACTTGAGTCTGCTTTTCAGTAATAGTATGTGTAGAATCTGAATGATATCAGCATTCATATACTTACACCCTAGTAATATGAACAAGGTGTGGAACTGTTTAGCACTGTAAAAAATTTGAACCCTGTTATTAAAATATAGATTCACATTATTTACTTTGTGACTCAAAACTTTTCCAGGTTCACATATTGTTTGAGATGAATAGGTCAAAGGTCAAAAAGGTATGAATTTGCAACTGAAAACTCTGCAATATCAGAAATAAAGAATTTCTAAAGAGTCATGTTTCAAATCACACAATTATCTACTTTAACAAATGAGAAATCTAGAAATATATTATACTTGATGTAAATAGTATATTCATTTTATTATATATTTCTTTTAATAAATCAAGTAGCTTAAATTAAGATCTACTTATCATTCTTAGTTCAGCATAATGCAAACATCGAAAACCAACGGTCTTCTCAATGTGTCTATGCTTCGCCATTTTAGTGATGATTCTGTATTGCATATGATCTTTTGTAGTCTCCATTTTTTATACATACATGAATATGATTAAAAGGTGTGGATGTCAATAAACAGCATCACTTAGCTTATATACTTTGTACACCTTTCTTTTTGGATCCACTTTGTAGATCACTTAGTCCATTTTCATGTGATCTTTTGCCAAGAAGACTGAGTTACATAAGCACTGGCATATTAAAAAAACAAAGCTAAAATATTATTATAAAACATAACAACCATAGGAAGAATTTTTTTTAAATGTACCTTCTTCAAGGATGGGTCGTGGAATGACAAATGGAATCTCCTGCAGAGGTTCCATATACTTGTGGCCCGCACTAATAATCTTTATTTGAGGCAAACAGAGGACAAGCATTCCTGGCATGCTGGTTTGTCCATGGTACCAACTTCTTACTGTTCCAGGAATGTCACCAGATACAATTGTACTTGGGGAAGGCAGGCTATCATTTGGAACAAACACACAACAAGACTGTACTTCAAGCTAGGGAGAAAAAAAAAAAAAGCAAAATTAAAATATTGGGAACATACTAAATAAGGGAGCAAACATACCCTTAAATACCTAATATCTTTACAAATAAATGGGCAAACTAAAAAAAGAAATGGGCCATACTTATAGCTTTATGGGTTACATTTACTAAAGAACACAATAAACACTTAAAAAGATGTTTCTTGCTACAAATTTGATCAAGAAGGCACAGTGACATGGGATGAAAACATATCTGCTTTTCCACAGTTCTTTCCAAGAAACAGGAGTGAACTAGAAAATGTGTTGGCAAAAAAAAAGGTGAGAAAATCCTCCTTCTTTTGCAGTTCATTAGATTTTGTTAACACCAGCTAAGGCCTTAGAACCAACTAGCATGATATTGTACTCACTTAAAACACACACACATACATACATACACACACACACACACACACACAGAGCTATTTCTATGTGAATTTGGCCTTTTTTTTTTTTACTTTACAGATTAAAATATAAGAAAAAATGTTCAAAATGTTCAGATTATATCTCTAGACAAACATTAAAATGTGTCACATACTTTCTTTTTTTTATATACATGTATCCCAAGATTCAAGTGTGTATCACATTTTATATTTAAAGATATATGGTAATGAAAATTGAGAGGACTTAAAAATCAGAGCATTATTCCTTGCTTTTATCATACCTCAAATTATATTTAAACTTTGATTTCATGTGCAATTTTTATGCTTTCTTATCCCCAGTGTGGTGACTTAGGTTGCCAGGCCCTTAGAGAGTTAAAATAAGACTAAGCAAGCCCAAATCAAAAATTAAATTCATCATGAGTTCTTAATTCAAAAGCAATGTAAGTTAAAGTCTACTAGTCTTGGTTGGTTCTTACAAAGTAATATTTTGTAACCTGGTTCACAAATTGCCCAAACAGCCTAGCATACTTAAATTATTCTTAAGAAAATATAAAATGTTATTTTTCTATAAAATATTTGGCATACAAAAATGTTATCTGAAGGCGTAATAAAACCTAAAATTTGTTTGATAAACCCTTGGATATTCTAGCAAATGAAGAGACTGTATTTTATAACAGATAACTAAGAATACAGTAATATACCTTTCCTTGGGGTTAATATAGTCCTCAGTGAGAGCATGATATGTAACAGGTCTGGAATTCCTTGATATGATAAAAAATTTGCCAGCCTTATAAATAAGCTAACTTACTCATCTTTGCTTCAACATTTCTGTGCATGGAATACACTGATGAATTCAGTGAAGAAAAATATAAGTAAAATTTTGCAAAAATAAATACAGTGGTTCATGAAGTAGGACCTCATTTCTTAGTTCTAGAATTTTATCTTGCAACTTACATGTGTATATGTTAAGTAGTTCATTAAGATTACAACATTTTTTATTCTGAAATATAAGTATACATTGTCTCAGATGCATTACATTTATCTTTTTAAATATTTAACATAATTATCAGTGTTCCAGTGTACAAGGTAATATGGTGTACGGAGAACACATTCTCCCATATTAATTATGGTTATAGTGTCAAACTAAAAAGAGTATTTAACACTTCATGTAGGTATTGAAGCTATGTTAAAAAATGTTTTCAACAATGTCAGGTAATTAGTATAATATGCCACATTATACAAATATATACATGCATATCCTCTGAAATAAATTTAAGTTATGCCAAGATTTCCAAAACCACAATATATTCCAAAATTCCACTAATTCAAAAATAGATTATTTCATCAAACTTAGCCTTAGATACACAACTCTGAAAAATAAACTTTCTAAAATATGCTGTTACAGAGATTCTCTAAATGATAAGAACCAAAACATACACATAATCCAAATTGCTTAAACTTATTATAATGTTAATCTATTACATATACTATAGCTATCACATAAATCTTTTTACACTTTTAAAATAACTGTAAAACTGTATGTCTAAAATTGTGGTTTTAATGTAAAATGTTGAGTGATTTATATAAGTGAATATAAATCTGCAGCAGTAAATTTTGCATTAATGTAAGGATCTGACAATCCAAGGGAAAGAAAATGAAGTAATCTGCCAGTAAGAAGTCCTCAAACCGGGGGTCAGATCATGTTCATGGAAACCATCTGGTTGGGACCCTCTGAGCCACACCAAACACAAATGATCTTTTAAAAAAATATCCTATTCATTAATGCATCACAGCTGCACTGAGTGTTACTTCATTTTTCCATGGCAACATCCTTTCTGTTTCAAGGATCTTATTTCAGTTTTGGTAGCAACGTGTTCTTTCGCCAATATTGAACACATTCATGTGTTAAAGTGAAGGGATTATTACAAATTCTTGAAGTAGAACCACCTCTATTTTGATTCCTATTAGGTCAAGGGCTACATATCTAAGTATGATACACTGAGAATAAACCAATAAGGTAGAAATTATTTGGTATTCTTATTTTAATAAATGAAATGACTGTCATGCATTTTATGGAAGTTCCAAGTTTATGTGCCATTTGAAAAGATGTATGCCTTTGGATACCCCCAACCCATCTCCCACATGTAAGGTTTGGTAAACTTAGATTCTTCTAATTTGTGTTCTATATAACTGTGATCACAACTTAATTAAAAAGAAGAGACTAAGATAGGTTTCACTTACACATTAATCTGAACACTTTAATTAGCGACTGTCTATTGTATAGAACTCTTTATAAATGCTTTAAAATGTTGTACCATATTTTTTGTACTTTTAAATAACATTCCTATTTCCTATTACCAAATAACATGTTTTCCTTCCTTTAAAACTGACACTTTAGTGATGATTGTATTTTGTAAAATTTCTAAAGAATGAAATGTTCCCTGTATGAATTTTATTCTTCAGAAAACAGTTCGAAATAAATACAAATACAAAGGAACATTTCAGGTTATATTTTCATTCACTTTTTCTTTTATTCATGCATTCTTTAAAACCTCACATGAACTGAAAGTCAGGAATACAGAGACAAAAGACATAATCCCAGCACTTAAAAAACTTGAAACAAGAGGGTTTTATTTATTTTTATTTTTTAAAGATTTTATTTATTTATTTGACAGAGAGACAGCGAGAGAGGGAACACAAGCAGGGGGAGTGGGAGAGGGAGAAGCAGGCTTCCCGCTGAGTAGGGAGCCCGATGCGGGGCTCGATCCCAGGACCCTGGGATCATGACCTGAGCTGAAGGCAGACGCTTAACGACTAAGCCACCCGGGTTTTAAAATACTAATAGCCTTACAGAGTTTTCACTAGAGCATAGAAGGTCTGTAATGTCAGATACTTTGCCTATTTTGTTTATAGTCTCAGTACATAGTACAGTGTCTAGCATGTACTAGGTACTAAGTAATTATTAAATAAGTAAACAATTATTTTTATTAGCATCAAATATGGGTATTAATTAAAATAATTGTGTAGTGCATGTTGTTCATCATTTCATTCTACAGAGGCAACCTAGTAGAGTAATTCATAAAACTGACATGTCAGCTAGATGGGTTCAACTCCAGCTGTGGAACCTCTGACAAGCTGTTTAATCTCTCTATGACTTCAGTTTCCTCATCTGTAACTTTATATCAGCTCTGATATAAAGATGCAATGTATTAACTCTCACCTGAAGGTTTGCTAAATAAAATAAAGTCAATGAACATACACTGATTATCTCTTGTATGTCAGATCCATATATTAGCTCTCGTGGATTCATAAGAGATGTTCACAGTCTCTTTATTTAAAAAGACTTATGCTTATGATATAACTATTTATGTATATAGAGACCACCAAAATATGCAGTATTCCATTTGCACTATAACAAAAATATTAACTATTGCCCAAATCAGTTTTCGTATTGTATAAATTCTTAATACACTATGAAAGTATTTGGGGTGTCATCATATATAGTAGAAATCTAAATATACCCAGTTTAGGGCTTTAAGTTAAAAACCTCAAAAGTGAACCTTAGTTGTCTTCTTTTCCAGATTGTTACAAATCCACATTTTCCCATAAATATCTGCCAAGAGAAAACATGAAAAAATGCCTATATTTGAATTCCAGACTTCCTCCTTCTAACAAACTACCATGCAACTGTGGTCACTTTCTCAATGCCTATAAATAAAAATATGAACCCTGCAAAATGTTATGCATTAAATGTAAAAAATTACTTTTACAATTAAGGTGGTTGGTAGTTGATCTGTCTAGCCTCAAATGCTTACCCTTGTTTAATCATGGAGATAGGCCAGGAAGTTCACTGGATAGGAGAACAAGTGTATCATGCAATATGATTACTGCATCACTGATCACATTCTATATGTAACTTCTTGGGAGAGAGAGAATTCAATTGGTCTAGCCCAACTAGCTTATGGGACCTGAGACACTTTGACACATCAAAATTAAGGAATGTAGGAAGTAGCTCTCTAAAGGAATAACAGATCATTATTAGCAAAAGAAGGAGACCAAGACTTGGTATGGAAAAAAAGTGTCCACTCTATTATACAGTCCACTCAGAAAACTTTAGAAATGACAAAAAAAGCACCGAGAAAATGCCATATAACAGAAACATGATCTTCAATGTAAAAAAACGGAGTTTGGCAAAAACTAGGGCAATGTTTTTCTTTATTAGTGAATTCTAGGCCAGAATATTTCTATTTTGTCAACTGCATGTCGTTGCCAATCATGTGCTTCTGGAATAAAATGCAGCTTTTTGAAGTATAATAGATAAGATCTTTGCTGATCAGCCGATAGAGAAAAATTGCAAAGAACCGAGTTTATGCTAATCTTTCGAGAAAAAGGCCCCCAAACCAAGTTCACATTTAAAAAAATTTGTTCAAGGGGCGCCTGGGTGGCTCAGTCATTAAGCGTCTGCCTCCAGCTCAGGTCATGATCCCAGGGTCCTGGGATCGAGCCCCGCATCAGGATCCCTGCTCTGCGGGGAGCCTGCTTCTCCCTCTCCCACTCCCTCTGCTTGTGTTCCCTCTCTTGCTATGTCTCTGTCAAAATAAATAAATAAAATCTTTAAAAAAAAATTGTTCAAGACTACATAAAGTACCATAACATAATCCATTAAGGTGAAATGTGGAAGTTACTTTTCCCACTGAAAAACAAATAGGTTACAGTGAATATTGTTTATGTCTAAATGCAAGATATGTCTAGCGTAAGTAAAAGAGAACATGGGCTTAGCAAATATCAACTTTGGCTGCAAAATCAATTTTCCAGAATTTCTGATTCCAAACACATTTACTTGCTCAAACTTCCACTAAAAGAATAATCCTTTGATGGTTTCAAGTATGATGTTCTGTTTTATCTGATGACAACTTCAGGGTTTTCTGTTTTATATTTTGGTTCATAAAACATCTTGGAAAATGGCACCACTATTTTAAAAACTCAGAATTTTAGGGCCTAGATTTTAATCATTTAATCAGAATCAAGTTTTATCTTTAAACCTTTCCAGAACACATTAACATGTGGAAATGTCTAAATATACAGCATGCATAATACAGAGCTGGGACTAGGAATGAGGCAAGCAAGTGCCTTCATATACAAAATAACCTATACAAGATATAATGGTGCCTTCATATACAAAATAACCTATACAAAGATATACTCCTGTAATTACATACATTAATTTATACCCAATAAGTTTAGTCAAATGAGGAAGATCAGTCTAAACTGCACCCATAAAAATGGTTAACATAGCAAATTTTATGTTAAGTGTATCTTACCACAATTAAAAATTTTTAAAAGAAGAAAATGAGGAACATCAGTATCTCTACTTATAACTAATCAATAATAATGTATAAAATTAAGTTTATTGTTGGTGACAAAGCTAATGAAGGCACTATATCATTATAAACCAAGAAAAAGAACCAAAAGAATCCCACAAGAATGTTAGAACTGGAAATAATCTTAAACATTATGTAACCATTTCATATTGCAGATAAGCAAAGTCAAGTGCATAGTTAAGATTCAGAGTTTGATAGTGCTAAGTACTGGTTCCTTGAAATTCTACATACCCTTGACTTACATGAACTGTCTGACTTTTCCTTCTACATTTCTGATCTCTCTCTCTCACAGCTGGCTTCAAGGACACTTTCTCTTTTACTGTCTACTCTAGACATGGTATCCCCTTGGCTCTTTAACTTTACATATTTTTGGGGATGATCAATTCTCCTGGTTTTAACCATCTGTAAATGTTTCCCAAAATTCTATCTCTACCGTGAATCTCTTCCTTAACCTCCAGATATGAATATCCTATGGTCTAAGAGAAGACTGGCTATCTCACAGGTATTTCAATGCAGGCATAAATTAAACTCCCTCTTTGCTCCTAACTCTGAAAAGCTGCTTCTTTTACCATTTCATGGCATCACTCTCCACCCAAAGGCTACAACTGGCCCCTAGAACACCACTTGGACAGCCTTCTTCCTCTCATTCCCCAAAACCAACAGTCACTAGGCCATGCTGATCTTATCTTAAATATCTCAGGGATGACTGTCCAACTCGGCCTATTGTCTAGTGTTTTCTGATTTGTATGCTGAACATTTAAAATCTTTTAAATAATGTTTAAGATAAAGGAACAGTAGAATGAATTTTTTTAAGCAACATCTCAAAATTTGTGTATTTTTTATAACTTTATCAAGGAGAACACATAATATGTATTTCATATGATTCTGTTAACATGTAAAGTGTGCCAAGAATTTTCCTCTAAGTTACAGAAGTGAGATGGTATACACAAGTGTTAAGAGTGAGGTTATTTGGGGAGCCTGGGTGGCTCAGTCATTAAGCGTCTGCCTTCAGCTGAGGTCATGATCCCAGGGTCCTGGGATCAAGCCCTGCATCGGGCTCCCTGCTCAGCGGGAAGCCTGCTTCTCCCTCTCCCACTCCCCCTGCTTGTGTTCCCTCTCTTGCTGTGTCTCTCTCTGTCAAATAAATAAATAAAATCTTTAAAAAAAAAAAAAAAGTGAGGTTATTTTTTTACCAATATTAAGTGTTACCAGTGAGATTATTTTTTTACCAATATTTAAGGTGCTGAAAATTATAAAGGATTATAGAAATTAAAACCATGCATTTTACCTGTAGTGTGAGACTCTTTACTGCATTCCATACTACTCCAATAAATTCTTTCATTCTCTCTTCAGGACTTCTACAGCCTTCAGAGAGATTCAGCATGGCTTTCACAGGAACTGACAATGGCCGGGATTCTAAGTATAAGAATAGTTAGTTAACACACATGTACTTTACTGTTTCACAAAAATATACAGAAAATATTTCCATGATTATTTCTTTCCTTGCTTAATACCTCTAAATGAGATTACAAAATATCATATTAGATCATTTTATATTATAGAATTACTGATTTTTAAAACTATTCAAAAATAAGCAAAACTAATCTGTTAAAAGTCAGGGGCTGGTTGGTTACTCTTGTCAGGAACTGGTGACTGGGAGGGGACACTGTAGAGCAATGTTATAATCTAATATTCTATTTACTGAATACATGGATATAGCACTTCACAAAAATTCATTCAGTCATAACCTAACAATTTGCCCATTTCTCAGTATTAAGATAATACTGAAATAAAAGCTTTACTTGAAAAAAAGGAAATTCAACAACAAAACATTTGATTATCCAAAATTGATAAGAAACAAGTCTTCCTACATGTGAATTCTCCTGATAACAAAAGCTTATCTATAGACTCTCTCTTAAAAACTGATTTTAAAAGTAACCAAAAGAAGTATGTGATTATATAAAAGGCAGATTTGATGATTAACAAAACGTGATATTCCACTCCATATAGCATGTTATTAAAAATTCTATCTAAATTATAAAAATCAGAGAATCTCAATAATTTTAACTTTCAGAAATTACTCTTAATTTAATAATAATTTATAACAATATGTATTATTTCCAAATAGATCCATATATATTTTATACACTATATGTTAATGCAAACATATAATTTGTATGTACCATTTTAGGTACTTTTTAAGTAGCATTAAATAAATAAATCAGATCTTGCTCTTTAAGAATTTGATTAAATTAAGTTTGATGGTCCTAAAATTCTCTCCAAAGTAAAGACTACCATATTACCACTACGTGAACTACAGTTGCTGTATTTCAACTCATTCTTTCCCTATCTTCCCAACTTGGTTTATTCACATTTATATTAGATTGATAATACCTTAAGGGCATGGAGCATAAACCTTTTTTCCTCATACTTATAAACCCAAGTCTACCACATTATGCCTGTTAGAAATTCAAAGAATGTTTATTTAAAAAAGGAGTTTGGGAGAGATCCATGGAGATATTTGGGAGCAGAGCATTCTAGGCAGATAAAACAGTAATGCAGAAGTCCTCAGATGTGCACTTAGGATTTTCTTTTTTTGTTGTTTAAGATTTTATTTATTTATTTGAGAGAGAGCGGTGGGGGGGGTGGGTAGAGGGAGAAACAGACTCCCCTCTGAGTGTGGAGTCTGACATGGGGCTTGATTCCAAGACCCTGAGATCCTGAGCTGAAGGCAGACACTTAACCAACTGAGCCACCCAGGTGCTCCGCTGTGTACTTAGGATTTTCAAGAAACAGTATAGAAGCAATAATGGCCACAACAAAGTAAAGAGTGACAGAAGTAGGAAATGAAGTCAGAGCTATAAATAAGGACCAATCATACAGAACTTATATAGATCATGGGAAGAAGATTGGCTTTTGCTTTGAAGAAGCTAGGATATGATAATGGATTCTAAATACAGTCATAAAATTATTGGACATATTTTAAAAGAATTTCTCTGGCTACTCTGCAGAAAAATAGCCTACAAGCATTAAAACAGGAAGACAATATGTGAGAGATGGTGGCTGCAGTAAAGGTACTAAGGAGTGATGAAATTCTGTATCCACATAAAAGCTACAGCCAACTGGACTTACTGATGTACTACAAATACATTAAGAGAGAATGGTGAAGAAAGGATGACTCCAAGGTTTTAGGTTGCAGCAGATGAAAGAATGGAGCTGTAGGAGAAACAGAATCGAGAGGGGAAAAAACCTTAGTTTTTTTAGCCCTATCAAGTTGAAATTCCCATTAGTTCAAAAGAAGGTGTCAAGTGAGAAACAGATCAACAACCATAAAGAATGGAAAAAAATATGAACAAACAATTCACAGAAAAATATAATTTGGCCAATAAACTAAGAGTGCTCAAACTTGCCAACAAACAAATAAAAGTTAAGACAAAAATCAGGTATTCTCCTCAATGGTCACACTGGCAAACATTTTAAAGTATCAGTTTGTATGTTTATAAAATCTGTCGTTGAAGCCTCTTGTGAGAATTTTTCATATACTGCGAATATAAATAAGTATGGTCTAAGAGTAGAATTCCAAGAAATGACAATTTGTAGTTATCAAAATTTAAACACACATTATTATTCTTCAAAATAATCCTATTTCTAAAAATCTGTGATACAGAAATACTGTAACAGTAGATGACTGCACTGAAGGAAAAAGTAGCTCAGCCACAAAAGCAGGGTGTACACAATGTATATAAGGGACACCCCTGAAGCTTCAGGTTTTGGTGAGCAGGGAACACTGCACTGCAGGGCATTACAGGACCTATTCATCATAAGGCCATTACCTTCAAGAGCAAGAGACATAGCTGACTTTTCTAACACAGAGAAATAGACACGGATAGACAAAATGAGGAGACAAAGGAATACGTCCCAAATGAAAGAATAGGACAAAATAACAGCAACACACCAAAGCAAAATGGAGATAAGTAATACGCCTGATAGAGAATTTAAAGTAATTATCATATAAAGACACTCATGGGACTTGAGAAAAGAGTGGAGGACATCAGTGAGACCCTTAACACAGAGATTAAAAAAAAAAATCAGAGAAGAATAAAATAAATGAAATTAAAAATACATTACATGTAATAAATAGTAAGCTAGAGGAAGCAGAAGAATCAGTGACCTGGTGGACAGAGTAATGGAAAGTAGTCAAGCTGACCAGGTGAGAGAGAAAAAAATTATACAAAATGAGAACAGACTTCAGGAATGAAATGGCACCCTCAAGCAAATAACACCTGCATTATAGAAATCCCAAAAGGAGAAGATAGAGAAAAGAGGGCAGAAAATGTGTTTGAAAAAATAATAGCTAAAAACCTCCCAAATTTGGGGAAGGAACTAGAAATCCAGATCAAGGATGCATAGAGAGCTCCGAACAAAGTAAACACAAGGAGGTCGACACCAAGGCACATAGTAATTCATATCGCTAACGCCGGTGGTAAAGAGAATTTTAAAAGCAACAAAAGAAATGAAAACAGTTACATACATGGGAAATATCATACATTTATCAACTGATTTTTCTTCAGAAACTGCAGGCCAGAAGAGAATGGCATGATATATTCAAAGCACTGAAATGAAAAAATCTGCAAATAAGAATACTCTATATAGCAAGGCTACCATTCAGAACAGGAGGAGAAAGAGAGTTGCCCAGACAAACAAAAGTTAAAGGAATTCCTCACCACTAAACCAGTCCTACCAGAACTGTTAAAGGGGACATTCTGGGTGGAAAGGAAAGACATAGTAAGATTAAGAAAAGAAGGAAGCACAAAAGCAGTAAAAATGAATATACCTGTAAAAATTAGTCAAGGGACTCACCAAATAAAAAAATGTAAAGTATGATACCAAATACTTAAAGTGTGTTGGGGAGAGAAGTAAAGACTGGGCTCCCTCTTTTGCTGTGTCTCTCTCTGTCAAATAAATAAATAAAATCTTTAAAAAAAAAGAAGACTGGGCTCAAACTTAAGCAACTATCAACTTAATATGGACTGCTATATGTATCTTCTATACAAACCTACTGGTAATCACAAATCAAAAACCAGTAATAGATAAGCAAAAAATAAACAGTATACCACCAAAGAAATCCAAATAACTGTAAGAGAATAGAGCAAGGGAAGAAAGGAACAGAAAAGAACTATAAAACCAAATGTTAAAAAGGTAACAAAATGACAATACATATCTATCAATAATTACTTTGAATGTAAATGGACTAACCACTCCAATCAAGCCATAGTGTCATGTAATAGACTAAAAAAAACATCCATCTACATGCTGCCTACAAGAGACTCATTTCAGACCTAAAGACACATACAGAGTGAAAGTGAAGGGAATAAAAAGCATTTATCATGTAAATGAATGTGAAAAGAAAATCAGGGTAGCAATACTTATATAATAGGCTTTAAAACAAAGACTGTAACAATAGGCAAAGAAGGACACTATATAATCATAAATGGAACATATCAACAAGAAGATTTAACAGTTTTAAATATTTATGCACCGAACATGGAAGCATCCAAATACATAAAGCAGTTCATAACAAACATAAAGGCAATAATCAACAGTAATACACTAATAGTAGGGGACTTTAATACCCCACTTACATCAATAGATAGATCATCCAAACAGAAAATTAACAAGAAAAAGTGGCTCTGAGTGACACTGAATCAGATGGATTTTAAACAGATGTATTCACAACATTCCATCCTAAAATAGCAGAATACACATTCTTTTCAAGTGCACATGGAATATTCTCCAGAAACGATCACATCTGAGGCCAGAAAACAAGTCTCAACAAATTCAAAAAGACTGAAGTCATACGATGCATTTTTCTGTCCACAACGCTTTGAAACTAGAAATCAAGCACAAGAAAAAAATGTGCAAAGAGCACCAATACATGGAGGTTAAATAACATGCTACTAAACCATGAATGGGTCAAACAGGAAATCAAAGATGAAAGTAAAAAAACAAAACAAAACATGAAAACATGAAAATGAAAATCCAAAATCTTTGAGAAGAAGCAAAAGCTGTTCTAAGAGGGAAGTTTATAGCAATATAAGCCTACCTCAAAAATCAAGAAAAATTTCAAATAAATAGCCTAACCTTACACCTAAAGGAGCTAAAAAGGAAAAAAAAAAAAAAGAAAAAGAAAAACAAAACTCAATACCAGTAGAAGGAATGAAATAATAAAGATTAGAACAGGAAATAAATGAAATAGAAACTAAAAAAACAACAGATAAATGAAACCAGAACATGTTTCTTTGAAAAGATCAAAATTGATAAGCCTTTAGCCAGACTTAAAAGAGAGAGAGAGAGGACTCAGATAAACAAAATTAAAAAGGAGAGAGGAAAAATAAAAACTGACATCACAGAAACAC